ATATATATATATTTCCCTTTCTCTAAGCATATCTAAATTTTTTTTAGATCCCTTCTAAATCTCCACCTCATATCTTATTTTAAATTTTATTTTATATCATTTATTTTTAAATTTTCTGGATCTGCGATGCATACCGATCCAAACCCAATTTGGATGGTTTATCTAGCGATTCGACATAGATATGTGGGTGAACAATCCAACCCAGTAATCTATGTTTACTGTTAAATACTAATTGCTTGGATGATAATAGTGAACTATTGGAAACTCTAGTGCTAGCATTAAGCCTGATACGAAGACCGATCAAAACTGTGATACTTTCTTGAATGGCCCCCTAATCTCTCGACATGTTTGGCACTTGTAGCATTCAACTATCCTCAAGGAGTTCACAACGTCGTGAAAGTGAATGCCTCCGGCTTCGAAAACTGCATCAAGGAGCCAAACAACGGCATAATGGATTCCGGGTCCGACGAAATTACCCTAGCTAGCCCTGGGAACAAGTGGTACATTTGCGCCTTTGGGCAGCATTGTGGCGTTGGTGGCCAAAAGCTGAAGATCACAGTGTCTGAGAGGGCCTTGGCTCCAGGTGCCGAAGCTCAGCAAAACCGAACACTGTTAATGGACTCACAGTTCTTTTCGGGGCCATATTCTTTGTAGTGCTTATCGTGATTAATTAATTCTTAATACTGGTTCCAACTCAGCCCCGTTGGGTCCAGTTTGAGTAGTGATTGAAATTATTAGTGGTACATACATTGTTTATTTCTTTGATCATTTGTTTTGGTGGTCCAATATTAGGTGGGGGTTTTGATGATAGAATATCGTTCTTCTAAATAGTAAATATGTTACAATTCTTTCAGACCATTAATGCAATTGTTTTTTGCATATTTTGTTTGAGATATGGGAAAATGCCGACATCCATATTGGCCAAATTCTGTGGTATTGAGTTCTTTTTAAACAAGGAATCGTATATTATGACACCATTTACCATTGTTACAAGGAGGTCAAGATCACTCCTAACTATTATATGTCGAATTGGATGCTTTGAATAAGTCATAAAGTTCGAGAATTTTCTTTTTGAACTTTGGGTCTAGTTAATAACACGTAATTATCCAATTTGAACTTTGAAAGACAATAATGATTAGGAAAGCTTACAATTACATGTGAGTAATTTTCTACAATACTTTACTCATTGCTCATTAACATCCAAAATCCATCAAGCAACCATGATTATTTACCACTACTTAAATTTTAATATTTTTCTACAAATCTAATTTGCCCACCTAATTAACTTCTCAAAAAAAAAAATTTAAAATATTTGTTGAAAATAAAATAACAAAAATACCCCCAAAATATTCATAGGGATAATTTGGTTATTTTTATGGTCTGCCATTCAATATCTTATTAAAGTGGGCTTTACTGAGACCCACATACCCACAAAATTTGATGTTAATTTGATTTATAAAAATTATTAAAATTTAAATATTATGAGATAATTATGATTGTCTGATGAACTTCAGATGGTGATCATCCATGAGTGAAATATTGATGAACTTCACTCATAAGTATATATCATGATTCAGCCGAGTTATACGGACTCGGGCCCTTGCCTAGCCCGAGTTATCTCGAGTAGGAGTTCCAACTAGGGGATCTTAAAAACAATTTTAAATAAATTATAACAAATCCAAAAACATAAAAAAAATATTTGTAACCAATTTATTTATGTTCTCTATCATTTTGGCAAAGATTTGAAAGTATTTTAGCCATGGATACTTATTTTTACATTTTTTCCATATTTTTTGGAAATTTCATAAATACCCCCAGTCACTAACTCATCTTTAAAATTTTACTGTTTTGCTGTTTTTTAACCACAATTTGTTGTGTTTTGTTAGATTTTACTTGTGAATATATAATTTTCAATATTTGGGAGTGTCGTTTGTATTTTTTTGTTTTTTTAATAGTTCAAACCTACTACATTACTTGGCCCTACTTGAGCCGAGTTACCCAAACTCGGCGAGTGCTCAGCTGGGGCTTGGACCGAGTTAGTCGGCCCGAGTCAACTTTTCAAACATGAACATGAACAAGGCCTCTTCAACCCGCTGGGCTCAGGGCAACCCTAAAGTGACCAAGGCCAGGCTAGAGCTGGCCCGTCCCCTTGTTAGCACTACTAAGTACGCTCTTTCCTTAAAACAAATGTATGCTTCTAAACTACCATTATGGGAAAAAAAAACCTAGACCCTTGATTCAGGGAATCTAAGTATATCAAGATTTTCCATATTTCCTTATGCAATATTTTTTGAAAGACGCATTCATTATTTCGTAGGAGAAATAAGATACGTCCTTTCTTTAATGTAGATTGAGTCCTTAGATATTTACTAAACTTAATCATCAATTTACGTATAAAATTGGCACCCAAGGCCCGATATTTGACAGATCAAAGAAAGGTGCGCGTGAATAGAGAGAAGAAATGGCAAGACTTGCTTCCTTGCTTCCCCTTCTTCTCTCCCTGCTCCTCTGTGCAAGTGAGATACTTTACTCTTTTTTCTGGTTACCTTGTATAGCGTGCTCCCGTGGGAGCATATTGTACAAGAACTCTATTAGTTTAGGGGGTATTAATTTGATCGAAACTTTTAAGGTATTTTGAAACCAAAATATTGTAGTTAGCTTCTAAACACTTGACTTATGAAAGGTAGCCTATTAAATCTTAGGATGCTATTCTTTTTATAAAATGCAAATGATTCTTTGAGTTTCTTTTGGAGTTGATCACTGAAGAAGTTGAGATGGTTATATCCTAAAATTTGGGATTTCAAGAGTACCTAGAAAGATTAGGTAAAGGAAAATAATATTTTTATTTTAAAAATTTTGTCAGGGCAAGGCTTAATAAAACTCTAGACATCATGTTGTGACCCCCGCCACTTGACCACCTCTTCACAAAGCCCTTTATTGCTCAGTTGAAGACCTCTTCTACCACTCTTTTTTGTATGTGTTGATGAAGGAGAAAATGTTACTTTCATTAGTATTACTTTTTCTTTTTTTTATATACATACATCTCGAGCTTGAGATGATCTGTTGTAGGAGTTTTCTAAGTCGAATAATCTATTATGAGTAGACTTTTGAGCTGCACTTCTACCGTATCAAATTGAGTGAACTTTTTCCTTATATAAGCAAGGTAAAAAAACGTTAAATGAGTGGTTTGCAAACTTTTGAATCCCAACCTTCATTGTTATAGTTCTCCTACACATATAGGTAAACAGAGAGAGCGAATCAAAGCCTCCTAATATTCAAATTTGTTGTTGTTGTTATAGGTGTGATGGTGATCACAACGGAGGGCTGTTGTGGGCCCAGCAAAACATACAAAGGATATTGCAATCCAAATAACTCAGAGAACGTTGACAGGTGTGCCTCCAACTGTAACAATGAGATTTGTGATGGAGGAATTTGCCAAAACCAAAATGGCAAGAACCATTGCCATTGCCATTGCTGATCTACTCTCACTCTCATAAGAATAAGTATTAGCTTCCTTCTCGACTAGATTTCATGAAGTGCAGTTTGAAGTGTTAGAACTATGATATAAAATTTCAATAGAATAATATAATTTATTATCTCTCCCTCTCTGGAATGTTGACTTTGGTTTAGTTTAGCCTAACCATAAGTTTTACTATGCAATGGTTGAAAATTCCCATTAATCTCTTACTTTCTTTCTTCTTTCTTTCTTTTCTTCTTCTTCTTCATTTTTTTTTTTTTAATAGTGAGAATGGAGGGTGGGTAAAACGTATCTTAATATTAGCTAGAAGCTCCCACATGAGCGACGTAGGTTCACTTCTTTTTCTTCTTTTTGACAATGTTCAGAAGTTTTTATTGATAAATTGCTGGAAGAGCATGAAATTGTTGGAATTAGGGGAACATAAATAGAAAGGGTACAAAGAGAAACACCAAGTTTAGTTAAGCGGTGAGCAACATCATTTGCCTCTCGATAAACATGAAAAAAGGAAACTCTATATCCAAGTGAAGCACAAATATCAAGGATCTTGATAAACATGAAAAGAGGAAACCCTATGTCCAAATGAAGCACAAATATCAAGGAACTTCAGCCAGACATGAAGGGACCAAGGGATTCTTTACTCTAGATTACACCATTTGATAACATTTAGAGCGTATCATTCGATCAGAATAATGCCTTGAATATCTGCTAACAATGATTTGCATGCCCTGACGAAGAGAAACTATCTCAGGCTAGTTAGTCGTGGTAGAACCACATGGCTCAGCATAAGAGAAGATAGTGGTACCCTCATGAACTCTAAAAAGATCACCTACTCCAACTTGCCCAGTATTTTGCAAATAACTTCCATCAAAATTTAATTTATAAGCACCTCCAAGAGGAGGGGTCAAAGTGAAAGACGGGCGATATTTTGGAACATAAGAGATGGTAAGAGCTTTAAATTAATAAAGATATATGTCCTTGAAATTCCTCTTTCATCAACAATAATAGACAACATGTCCCATAAGGTCTACAAAATTTTCGCTTGCACAATCCAAAGACCTCCCTTTAAAAGTGTGTATGTTCCGCTCTATCCACATCTCCCATAAAATAGCACTTCTGAAGATATTCCAAATAATAGTTTCTGTTTTGGGCAAAATTCTTGTGAAGATATCCCAAATAATAGTTCCTGTTTTAGGCAAAATTGGGAAGCTGAGATGATAAATAACTGAAATAAGATCTACTGGAATGATAAGAGTGATACCCAAAAGACTGAAAGCCCACTTCCAAATATCATCCTCAAATGAGCAATACAATAAAAAGTGGCAACAATTTTTTTCATCGCTCTTGCACATGAGACACATATTAGGAATGATTTTCCCCCTTTTTGAAGATTGTCTATAGTAGGACATTTATCTTGTAAGTCAATCCAAAGGAAAGCCATTAATCTTCATAGGGATATGTCATTTCCATATTGCAAAAAGATAGTCATTGGACCACCTTAGACGATCATAGAAAAGTACTCGATTGACAGATTTAACAGAAAAGACCCTGTAACTTTCACTTTCCCATATAACATTGTCTTTACCTATAGGCGAGATATAAACATCCTGAAGGATAGAAACTAAATTTTGAAATTGTGAAATGACTTGGTCCGGAATTTAGTTATAGCTACATTCAACATTCCATATGGAGGCACCCGAAAGTGAGCGAGAGAATAAGTCTGAAATTTTTGCCGTCAGAGAGCTTTCTCTTGCAAAGAGATCTAGAAAGAGAACGTATAGAGGCTGATCCCCGTGCCACTTAGTAAACAAGAAAAAAATCTCATTACCATTAACAATAAGCCAACAAGAATTATTGAGCACTACATTTTTGCAACTATAACTTCCCTTTCAGATTTGTGAAGAAAATTTACCTCCTCTCTCTTTTTAAATCAAATGAGTAAAAGGTTCAAAACCATACTTTGCTACTAAGACATCTTTCCATAGTTGACGGGAGCTCTGAATGATTCTCCACCGAGAGAAAAGCTCAATTCATTTATTTAAGCGTTCCCAAGCCACCCATTTTCATTGGAGTGCAAATTTTATCCCATACTATCAAATGCAATTTTCTATGGTCATCGTCGAAAGAAACCTATACGAAGTTGAGCGTAAGCCTTTCAATGATTTTAATAATAGCGCTC